AAAAAAAAAAAAAAAAAAAAAAAAAAAAAAAAAAAAAAAAAAAAAGAAAGAAAGAAAAAAAAAATCGCGTGGTCATAATTTCGGCCGAGCGAGAGAAAGAGAGAGAAAGGAAACCGAAAAACCGAGCGGCCGATCGATCTAGATCTGTCCACCGGAAATGCATACGTTTCTATGATATATACACATCCGGCGCCACGCCTCCTCGCCTCACCTGCTGCATGATGCCTTACGCGATGATGATAATAATAATAATGCTCATCCGCATCGTCGCGGACGAGCATTCATAACAGACATCTCTCGGGGCACGTGAGCGATAACGTGCGCTCGCTTCTTGTGCATAGTTACACGGTATAACGTTGCACATACGTGTAACGAGTGCACATGGAGCCAGCACGGAGCCGAAAGCAACGCGATAGCACAACACCTTTCTACTTATTTTAGAGCGTGGATCAACGTTCCTTGAACGATTCACTTCGGGAATTCTCTTCTCTTCCTTTTTATGCAAAATTTGCTGCACTCACTCTTGGGAACGAGATTTTTTTTTTTTTCTTTTTATTCTGTTATTCTCATCTCATTCTATCCCTCCTTCTCTTCCCAGCATCGTGAGAATTTTCAAACCGAAAATCTTCGAAGTTCCGGTTGCGGCAACCGGATTATAATAATTTTTTAATAATCTTGTAAAATTGTTGCGAAGAGAAAGTCGTCACAACTTGTCTTTTAACTCGAAGTTTTTTCTTTTTTTTTTTTAAATTAAAATATCAAACTAAAGAGTAATTTAAAATAAAATGTTGCTCCGATTTATATTAAATCACTTTAATTTCCACGTATTTCTCAACATGAGGATCACAGCGTACAAATGACAGCGTACACGAAAATACGATTCTATTTATAGACAAACGTTTAATCACACTGGCAAAATATCAATTTTCCTACTCGCAATCGTCACACACGATTTCCTTCGTAACCCGTCATCTAATCGCATACATCAAATTGGAAGAGGAACTCTTACAAATTAATTCGAAAATATTTAAGATACTATATCCACGTAATATTTAACATTATATTTCAAAATTGGAATCCTAAATCCATTAAAATCGTCGAAATCGTTAAATAAAAGCCATTTTCGAAGATCTAAAGATCAATCTTTCCCCCTTCTTTTTCTTTATTCTAGATGATAATTGCCTCTTAAACGAGATTACTTTATTTCGACGAGGCAATCTCAATGTCAGATCGCTAATTAATAACTCGATCCGATTTATTGGCCACTAGTAAACTAATTAGCCGAGACCAAAGAAACTAGCTTAGGTATTCTCGAAAACTTAATAACCTCGTAAAATGCGGAGTTCGCCAATGAAACCCGGTAGCCGATTCCCTTAACAATCGAAATCCATATCTTGGAACAAAAATTAAATCAAAATTCCAATGAATATCGATAAATTATATGATGTGAATCGTGCTAATTAGATGACTTGATTTCGATTTGCGGATCATAAAAAGAAATTTAAATATTTAAATTTCTTATTTATCCATTATGATACGTAAATGAGTTACTATTATTTTTTATATAGAAATAATATCTCTATCAGAATTATATATTATTATGGATAAATTGTTATAATAAAATTGAAATTAAAACAGAATATTAAAAAAAATATATATATATAAAGTATAATATATAAATTAATTATTCTTTATTGATTCAACAAACAATCAATTGCCTGAAGGTTAATGGATTAATAATTCACGTTCCTTTTTCCAAAAAAAAAACCTACTCCCAGATCAACCATTCACCATCAAAAAAATACATCATCAAATTATCACTCAAAAACAACGAATCGAAAAGCTTCGAGTCGTATCGTTCTTAACAAGCTACAAACAAGTCGC